ACAATGTGTCACGTGAAATGACTGTCGGTGAAGTGTACTGTCGATGAAATGATTGTCGATGAAATAAATGCCTCCCAGCAACGCCAATAGCAATATAAGTACGATTGCATACTGTATATTGTTACGTGTATCGTGTTAGAGGCGACTGAACAATTAAATAATGCGTTTAATTACATAATTGTCGGTTTGCACTGCTACGCCTTGAAACCCCTTCACATGCCCAAAGCATGTAAACCAGTGAGTCGAGTTAATTGTGTGAATTAACTAAACGTCAACGAATTCAATCAATGCACTAACAAAAAGTTAAAAGATTCACCATTGTCACCATTGTCTTACCGTATTGTCAGTATAATTTGGTCATATGATCATACACAAATCATAGAGTCATTGGTTTAACCCCTAACTGTGCGACGATATAGCGTAATCCGTTCATTTGTATGAAGATATAGCTGATAGGTCCCTTAATAGCACCTATTAGCTATTACATGAGAAACTGTACGTATATTAATATGTGAATCAACAAAGCTATTGTATTTTTTTACTCAAATCGTAAGTTGTTCACAAAATCCCCTCAGTCGTTGTAGTTTTAACAATTAATGCTTTTGAATTAATTTGGTTAAATGTTTGTGCATATGAGTAATCCGATGACGATCATCCAAAAAGATTTCGCTTTTTAGTGAATCGTGTCACCGAAAAATCTTTATCCAATAATTTAGTTAACCTCGGTTCGATTATAATGGGGTTTCAAATAAATGCTTGTCATAATAAATTTTATTTAGCCGTATCATTATGCAGTATTCTTTAAGCACACTTTGCTTACACAAGTATAATTTGCACATGCGACAATCTTTCGAATGCTTGCTCAATCATCGTAGACATGTTAACATTTAGCCATTGTCAGTAAATTTTCAATACAATATCAAGAAATAACATTTTTGCATGCCTCCACCAAAAATTATCTTTTGCATAATGAGTCTGAGTATCACATGACCAAGTTTCAAAAAGCTAGATACCTTTATATTTACACTAATTTTTTACTCACAGACCGCTAATTAATAAATAGATGCACATACTATTGTCATACATTAGCGTCTTTACGTACTTGCATCCAGGCGGTCTAATTAACTACTGCCAGATTAATTCTTTCCAAGAACGCGGAATCGGTTCACAAACGCTATCTCGTATGTTTTGTGTTTGAAAATTCCATTCTGTTTAGCTTTTTTAACCTTTTGACTTGAATTTTGACAGCAGAGCAACACTACATTCCAATTTTGGCAGAATTAAATGTTTTTCATTTTTGAACATTATAATATCTAAACTGCTGCAAGTAATATTACATATTTCGCTAACTTGTGATAATTTTGTGAAATTATGTGCTGACAAAAATATAAGAAAGTAGATACTGCATGTGCTTTAAGCAGATAAAATTCTCAAGTAACTTGACTGCAATTGCATTGGTCTCGGGAAAACTACAACTCGATGACCACAAATGTTTATTGTCATTTACGTGGCATACGTTCTATCAGTAGGGAAGTCGATATTTTTGCATGCAACGTTTTGTAAAATAATCTATAAGCATATATGCTGTGCTGCTGTTTCAATTAATAGAAACAAGATTGTTGCACGCCTGTCGATGCTTAACCTTCTTGTCTAACTTCTTATTCTAGCATAAAACTGTATTTCTTATATATGGTTACTTTGTTAGCCGACTTCCGCGCCTTGTAAAAATCCGACATTTCGGCTTATTTTGTTGTTCCGTGACAATAGTCGTATGGTAAAACTTTAAATGATTACATTTACATAATTCTTTTCCAATCCCATTTAACAGTCTTGGTAAGCATTTAGCATCTTGTGACGCAACAGTGAACCGATATTTCCAACGAATCTGCATTATTTTAATATTTGGCATAGTGCATATTCTTATTGTATTGATACCTCTTGTTCTGTTAATATAGATTGGCTCACGTAATTCTATCATTTAAACTTGCATGTCAAATTTGCTAATATGCGACGTAAATTGCTCAATGAATTTGTGCTACCTGACGATCGCTACTTTGTTAACACGCCACAAAAAACTCGGTATTTCCCCTTAAATGATAATCCGACAAACCAATGATAAACTCCTCAGTCGTGGGATGAATAGTTCAATACATTTTCTATGACAAATAGTCTATGCATCAAACCATGAGCTTAATATCGAGATAAACATTCTCCTCAACAAGATCATTAAAGCTTTTGCCGACACGATGGATTGTCGGTATAACCGCCCCGCTTAATAATGATAGCTACGATAATTTGTTTATTCAAGTGTGACGATGATCGATTCGCATTGCTTTGATAATAAAGCTCATATTTGCGTACATATTTGATAATACAGATCGACGCTGAAATTTGGTTATAGCCGACAGTCATTATGGCGCATTTCAGCAATCGTCTCTCTGTTGCAAATAAGAGAAAAACTCTAAATTGATTAGACAATTATTAACTTTTGCAGCCTAAAAGAGTTTCGCCCAACTGATCGTCAGAATAAGATTAGGCAAATAAAACTAGCTTTCAACCAATAAAGTATATGACAACGTGATAATCCTTATCAACGGATAGCATTTCCAAAGCATGGCGGAATAAAGACAACAATATAAAGACAACAATAAAGACAACAATAAAGGCAACAACAAAGTTAAACTATCTATTTTAAATAAGATTCTAATTGGCCAATTTTAATCGGCCCTTCATAGGTATAGTAGTCTTAACGTTAATGTTCTCCTGCCAAGTATCAATGGCTTACTCGTTATGTATGCGATAAGAAGTCAAACATGATATAAGATGTTAGTTTGGTAAGGTCAGTTCAACACGTTGCATCTTTGTCATTCCATTATGGGCTTCAACATATCTTTGTATTCACGTGAATCATGTGTTTCGGTCCACGTTAGTATCAGTTTGGAAAAAAAGTACGAGCGAGCTCGAGTCAGTGGATGATAAGCCAAAATGATGAGTAACCAGTGTCGATTATACCGTCATTGTCTGGATAAGCGAATATCATTCAAGGTGGTATTTGGCCTGTGCTTACAGAGAGAAAGCTACCTTATCTCCTTCAAATGAACAGTAATAAATACACACCAATCGATTAATAGCCAAGAGACATTTAGCAAATGAGTAGACTACTGCTTGTGATAGGATTAGCATGTTGGTCCGTTTTAACAACGTTATTAATGAAAAGATCTCACTTGCGCTAACACGTGTTAATCTAAAGCATGTATGGTTTGTACCCCCGATCCTGAACAGACATGAACAGACATACCGACCCCTTTTTTGGCAATGATAGTTTACAAATAAACGAATTCCAGAAACGCAAGTTTTGGTTTTATGTTTGCATTTGAACCACAGAATTCAAGCTTTCTTCTTTGCTGTCGAAAGTACAAAGAACTTGCACGCACGCACGCACGAAGCATTCCCCTGTGTATTTGCGTTTTAGAAATCAAGTTTATAGAGTTTGTTACAATTACAATGTCCACTTTTTTCCCAGAATTTGAGTTTTTGTTCGCATTGTGTTACCGAATCAGCCTTAATATAATGGAAATAAATATGCAAAAACTCTCTCATCTTTTTCCCCTTACCCACTTTAAAACGGGGGGTTGCATAAGATTTGGGAACACCACATATGAGGTAAGCAATCGACAAGAACGAAATAATGATTTTCAAAGATGGCTTTAAGTTAGATGGCAAGATATCGACATAGTAGTAACGAGTAATAACCTGGTAAAGCATATGTGGACTCTACAATATTAAATATTATATTAAATGACAACAATTTATTTTAATAATACAAGTCATTAGGGATTGGTTGTGGGAGGGGAACTAATGGCGTGTCCATATCATTCAGGCTAATGTTTATATTAACTTCATAGTATGCAGTTAAAGTAACTATTTATTTGGACTACTTGACGCACGCTTATGGAGTAATCGATGTTCATATATGGAATGTAGATTAATTTCATCTTTTTGTCCTATAAATATATATATCCCATACTACCGCCTTTTTTTAGAATACACTACGCAAGTCTTCTTGTTGACAGTATTTGAGACCTCTTTGTCTGCTGGCATCAGCTCCTTCTCAGATCTGTCTTCAGAAAAAATACATAATATATAATCAAAAACTTGGTACATTCAACACAACAGGATGGCACTCAGGGTGAGGAGCATGAGCATGCAAGCATGCAAGCGACTAGCAAACAACCAAGTCTACACCACAAGTTTTACTAACAAATATTACTCGCTATCAACAGTACGAGTTGGAGCAATGGGATCGAGGAGTAAAGGCTTTTGAAAACAAAGATTATGACGCTGCATTAAAATGTTTTGAGGTACTTGTTGCTCGGGAAATGGGTCATTCCTGTCGTGTTTACAAGAATAGCATTCACAAGAATAGCATTCACATACTCTTTGTTTGCACTTAGGATATTGCTGATTGTGCAAGGTTTTACTTTAATATCGGAATAATCTACGCTACAATGGGTGAGCATGAAGCAGCTGTAAGCATTTATTTCCAAATTTACACTCGATGATTTATTTGTTGTCCGGCTCGTCTAATCCCCCGTGTTTTATTCCAATTTCTATTTCAAAAAAAGTGCGAATCGTACAAAGAAGCAGTAAAGCTTGATCAATATTTCGCTGTGGCTCAATTTCAACTGGGAGTTTCTTATTTCCTCACGGGTAACTTTGAAACCGCTCTTATAAGTTTCAATGACGCATTCCTGGTAAATATATACATGTTGCGCTGGCGTTTTACAAAAGGTGGGAGGGGTGATCATTGAAGAATTGACCGGATGTGTTTGATACCGGTCAATGTCTGTAAAGATGGATGAGCTGAGAAAAATACACGAATATAGAAAAAACAAACTGACCCCAAGTATTTTTTTAGAATCTACGTGGTAACAGTTTGATCGATTACGAACAACTCGGTCTTAAATTCCGTTTATACAGCTGCGAAGTACTATTTAATCGAGGACTATGCTATTTCAATCTCGGAAAGATTGAAGAAGGAATGGCTGATTTTAATTATGCGACAAAGGAAAGGCAGACGGAAGAGCATAACGTCATTGGTGAGGCTGCAAAGGTTAATGGACAGGTTAGTATCGAGATGAGACTTGGAGTGGCGTGGGTGGTGGGCATAACTTTGTGATGGCGAATATAGGTAAGATAACCAGATGGTTTAAATTTTGCAGAGATTTGTCTAACCAATCTACCTTTTTCCTTTTTTCGTCAGGGCTTTACCGTATTTTCACTTCCATCCGGTATAATTTATCGTCCATCCGAGGACAAACTAAAACAAAAGATATTTTGGGAAAAGCAAAAGTGAATGCCTCTTAATTTTCTGCAGCGCGGAAAGCAAAGGTAATGAAAGGATACGAGAATGCTTGTTTAGTTTTGATCATATTCAAGCTTTTACTGTCGTTCTTTCTTAACTAACCAAGTCTTTTTACGTTTGGGAAATTCAGAGAGGAACAAACCAACAAGCACAAACTGTAATTTTTAATGGCCGGACAGTATCACCATCGTTTCCCATTTCCCAACGAATATCTCTATCAACAAATCCACGCTCTCCTCCTCCATTCCCAACTTCATCCACATCACTTTCTCGTCAAAACACATTGAATAGTCAAAACACAGTGTCCCGTCAGAATACATTATCCAGTCTGCATGCGCTCTCTCGCCAAACCACTCTTAATAGTCAGAACACACTTGCCGGCCAAAACACATTTCAGAACGGATTATCAATGTCTCCGCCCCAAACCGATCTCAAACGCGATAATTATGCCTCTGGTTCCATTTTAATAAGTTATAATGGATTTGCTGCTGATTCAAACACACTTAGCGATCGATCGATCAGTCCGACAGTTCCTCCCAATTCCAACTTCAATAGCATGTCTAGTACACCAGATTTGTACGCGGGCGGAAACGAAGATGACGACGAGATAATGTCATCGTCTTTACCATCGATCACTAGACAGGCACCCAAGAAAACATTTGTCACCAACCTTTTAGGAATCGGCTTACAGAGGTCGTTTTCTCTGTCGGGAGTAAAATCGACCCCGAAACGACAGAATTCTTTGAAAAGTCGAAGTCCGGCATCACCAAACTTATCCACGTCCAACATTTCAGCACCAATTTCGTCACCTCCGAATGTAGCAATACTTCAGCGACCGCCATCGCTTCGCAAGCAGATCTCATTACCATCATTATCATCCAACACACCAACCGTACAAGGATTCACCGTATATCCAAGGAGGCAAATAACGCCACCGCCAGAGCCGGGGTACAATAGTACAAACGGCATTCAGAATGATAGTGATAATATGAACGGAGGACAACCGAATCGATCCATGTCACTTCGAAGAGGTCAACCCCCATTTCCCACGCGCGGTTTTCTCCGCGAGAGAAGTAACACCGACTCTCGCGAACTCTCACCTATTCCAATATCTCCACTGTCACCTAACGGCATCACCATACCCATACGGCGAAACACCAGAGCTCGTGCACAGTACCTTCAAAAACAATTGGGTGGTGGCAGCGTATATAATCAAAACGGAGGCTATTCTTCAGATGAAGCATATGCCTCGCCGCCAGAAGATTGGAATAATATATACGACTATGTAATGAACGAAGACTCGCCACACGATTATGACCCGCGTGCAGACGTTGATCGTGTAATAAACAAAACGTCGAAATCGGGCAAGGTTGATTTGCTCAAGATATCGACATCTCCGCACTCGGTGTCGCCGTCGTACTTGTCTCCGCAAACGGCCTCGTCGGAAAGACCGTATGCTGACGTTATTTTTTCGTCGACTTTGAGCGAGAATGGATATCGATATGGAAGTGATGACGAAGTTGGAGAGCGAGAAGAAGACTATGATGATGACTTGGAGGAGGAGGAGGTGGAGGTGGAGGAAGAAGAGGAGGAGGAATATGAGGGAGATGAGGTGGAAGATGGACAATTTGAAATGTTACAGATGCCTGGAAGAAGAAATACGCAAAACACGAATAATGATAATTGGTCTAGTACGAGAACGGATGACAAGGTATGTTTTGTGTCCGAGTGTGGGGAGAAAAGGTGATGCATAAAACGTGATGAACTGACAACGAAATTGACACCTTGTAGATACGCATTCGCATCTACTACAAAGACACCCGCGCACTTTTAATTCCACCAACAATAACATTCCCAGACTTGATAAAACGTATTCAAGACAAATTCCAAATTACCAATTCGATCAATTTACAATACAAAGACGAAGATAACGAAATGGTCATGATGATTGATCAAGAGGATTTGGAGATGGCTTTACCGTATGCTGAGAGTGGTCGGATGGACGTAAGTATTATTTTCGGTCTTGCATTGTGAAAAAAGCCGTTGGTATATATTTTGTACTAAAATCATTCCTTTCTCTTTGATTATGTAGTTGTGGGTTCATGATGAATAATTACAGTTTTACTTTAATAGGCTACTTTTTGTTATTACATGATATAATTCATAAATCATTGTACACATTTTTTAACAAATGTATTGTATAATAAAATAATATAGAACATATTTTGCAAATAAACAATCTGGATTCGGAATCAAGACTCCACATATCATGATTGCGGTCGGTTAAACATCTATCCATATCCGGGATATCGTTGCAGCAGGAATAAATACCGGGGAAATGCTGTATATTGATCGGATAAATTGTTGGATAATCCGATATCGTAATAACTAAAAGGGGTGATTTACAGATTGTACTTGCTATCTACGGTCGGGATTTTATAAAGACACGTCTGTATACAATAAAGCAGACGGTTATTGTTATGAGAATGAAAAAGTCGTTAGTATCCGAGGTCCGAACGGTGAGTGCCATTGTCATGTGTAAGTTTTTGTGTAATAATTGATTAATTGTCTTTATTGTCTTTATTAGATGCAGATAAACCAACGGTCTTGAACGATGAATGCACCCCGTTACAATGACACCTTTTACACTGTAGTAAAGCCCCTGTTACCTTCGTAATGCACACGCGTTTTGAAAAATATCTTTCGAAACACTGTAGTGAGTGATTCTAAGGTTGTCACATTTTAACCAATTGTCTGTTTTATATAATTAAATAAGACGGCGATTATTATTGACAACGCCATGCTGCGATCCTTTTTGCCCATCACATAAACGCGAACTTTTCACAAGTCCTTCCTTCAAGCGGCGGAAATAAAATTACTCCAGGTTAAATCCAACATGCGCAAGTTTTTAAAATGAATAAATATATTAATACATATCAGGCAATCACAGATGACTTGTTTGCGTGTGCGAATAATAGCAAATTGAACAAGTTAATTGTTTGGGAGATGCAGAGTGTGATAGAAAAAGGCCTTTAACAATAATTTATTAGTACACGTAACAATCGGCTGTAATTAATTTTAATTCTCTTAATATTAATATTAATGAAATTAATCATGGAAAATATAAAATAATCATTGTGGAACGCCAAAAACCGAATTGATATTGATAGTTCCTTATATAGTGATAACTGAATTAACAACAGTGATAGTAGTGATTGCTAAAAAAGGGGGGAAAATATGTCAATCATTTATAGTCGGAATTTTTAATAAAACAGTGAGCGTGTATGTTTCACCCTTACGAATATATCTCCTTGTACGCGTAGTGTCAGATTTAATGTGGAAACAATGAATCTTGTTTTACAAATTACTTTTTGGGAGTCGTACCTGAAAATAATAATTTAAACCATGCTTTGTCATGTTGCATGATCTGATAATACTGTTTTTTTCAATCTCTCTTATCTCCTACTTATAGGCATGTCAAATGTTTTTAGCAGTAATGTTATTAGAAACATTAGCAAATTTTGTGACAAATGCAAGTTGTATAATGTGACTATATCAACAGTTGAAGAGCATCAGATAAAATTGATAGTCTGTATCAATTGTCCATATTACACAACCAGATTTTCCTAATACTGTGCAGTTTATAGACATCAATACACTACCCTACCATAAATCACCGGATTTTTTGTCACGTGTTTGAAATAGATATGAAATTTTTGTATTTTCTAA